CGTCAGTCTACGTCCAACATCGGAGATGGAAGGACCTCTGAAGAAGCTCGCCACTCGTGCTAGCGAAACGTTAGGAAGTAATTCCAACCGACGACGGCCTTTAAACCCGAGTCAAGATAATAGTTTAAAAAAAAAGTCATTTTCTCTTGAATAGAGCTGCTTTTCCGTTTTTAGGATAAAACTTATTACGAAATTGTTTTACATAAATGATGTAATAATTCTTCAAATAAAATCTTTTCTAATTAATCAAACCCCATTTATGAAATTACAAGGGGAAAATGGTCGATAGATAAAAGTGCCTGTTTAACGCAAAATTTACAATACCATCAGGAATGGAAGAAACATTAGAAACAGACGACACTCTGTGAACACCGAAGGGTATCCCAGAGTTGGAAAAACGCTGCTCTTGTTTACGTGGCACTGGCACTTTTTATCTTCTGGAATAGATAAAACGACTCAAGTGAATCGAGTTATCGATTCTATATGGATGATGGTTTATCTACTATACTTCCATTGTTCGTTAATTAACAATGACTCCCACTTTAATTTCTAATTTTTTCGAAGTTCATGACATGTGAAATGGAATCTTCAAGTCACCCGTAAGTAGAAGAAAAAGGTATAAAAGTGAAACTATTATGAATACTGAGAGTGGCGCCCTCTTACCTTTATTGTATGTGAAATTGACCATTCATCTTTTCGATCTTTACGGGTTAAAAATGTAGCTGTAACGTGAACACATACGCGGTCAGTGCTGAGTAATAATGAATAGTAACTTGCAGCACGAGATGACTATTCGTGCTGCTCATTAGTGTCGAATAGTTGCAGTAAATAGCTTTGCAGAAACCGAAATTCCTCGGTTTCGATTGATCGAGACATTGTAGATATCTACATACCGTTCTATTCGACGTATACTTCTCTTCTGCTACACTGTCGTCACGGATGACACTCTATAATTTAGTGTATGCCAGCACAATGAGCTCTCCCGACAACTCCCTTTATTTTGCTTGGTGCACGGCGGAAGTGAGAGGCGAGGTTGAGAACGGACGACATTTTCTCTTGCCTGTTAAGTTGTCATCGCGTTTAATAGGAATCGTGATCGGAAGATTCCTTCGCGGCGATCTACTATCGCCGACAATTATTCACTATTTTGTAAACGTGACGGCTGCGCTCGTCTCGAATTACTACGCCATTACGGCGATCTAGTTGTGCCCGGTGCTCAAATGTGGATGTTTCTATAGCAGATATCCGTGCCTATAAAGTTTCCGGAAAAATTAAACATTCGCGATCTCCTTTTCTTTTTTTGGCACAAAAAGTAATACGAGCCAGTATCTTGGCAATTACTCGAGAATTGAAAAATTTAATTATTTATATTAAGAATTTGTTCACTTTGCGGGTCATATACAGGATTTTTCAAAAAGAGACATGCATTCGTGTTGTTCGGTTCGGTAAACTTTTCAAGTCACTCGCTCCGCTCGTGTCAAATAAACTCGTGAGTCAAATGCCGTTTACCGCACTTGTTGCATAATTTACTATTTTAAGTGCTTTTTCACGTTTTGAAACACACTCTCTTAGTGCAAAAAAATCAATATTGTTCCTCGAATAACCCTTTACCAAAATTCAGTTTTGTCACTCAACCGCCAACGGAAAGTCTAAAAAAGGGGCTGTCCTCCATCGCCTTTCCGTTTGCCATCCTGCCGTCACCACCAACCCCTCGGCCCGCATCTCCAAAAACGGCTTATTATACTAAAATCTACATTTCCATACAAAACATTTACCACCCGAAGGATTTTAAGGGTTAAAGTTTAACTGTTTTGCGGTTGACCCCGTTTTTGGTAGCGACGTCAGGAGTCGCGAGCTTTTTGCTCGGCAAAAGTTTCCAACTTTTTGAATGTTTTATTAATATACGTCAAAAGGGCCGGAGTCCAATGCAAAATGTTTTTCGTCGGATGTATGAATAATAACATTAACTAGAAATTTGTACTGCTAATCCTGGTATTTACCTAATTAATTGAGACCGAAACTCTTTATAAACGGTGAAAAAAACGACATTTTAATTATTTTACACAAATTTTTCAGTAGCCTACTTCTTGTGATACACTTACCACTGATAGAGATAGCTAATGGGTTATCCAAGAAGAAGTAACAACGTCGCGCGCTTCAGAATGCCATACTTTGCTATTCGGGTACTAGGCGATTGAACCGGTTGAACTGAGGTGGCTTTTACTTGATGAAAATAAATAAGAACTAAAAGTTCAGATTTTCACGAAATTATATATTATGACATGACAATTGTTTCGACAACACCGTGTCTTTATCAAATGTAATATTTACAAACTACCTGCTACTATATATACCGAAAAATGACCATAAAACGTTAATTAATGTTGTTGGGAGAATTTAAGTTCAATAAAGAAGAGGTATTTAAATCTAATTGATCGTTAAGCAATACATTTGAATGTCTCATTTTGTTAATCTCCATGGCTTCCAATAAATTTAATTTTCTACTTTTTGTGGCTGTATGTAATATATCAAAATTGTCCTCAAAAATGTGTTTTTCTGTGTTTAAGTGTGTAGCATAATTAGAATCTAAACTATTGCTTTTAAACGCTATTTTATGTTCGTTAATGCGTTTCTTGAAGGATCTACCTGTTTGTCCAATATAAATTTTAGGGCAAGATCCACATTTCAACCTGTAGACACCTGATTTTTGGGATTTTTAAATATTTTCCTATTGTGTTGTTAGTTCTGAAAGCTATTTTTAAACATTTGATTATAAAGTTCAAACAGACATTTCGCCTATCATTCATAAAAAAGCAAGCCAGTTATTACAAACTAAACCGACCATCAATTTTAAAACAGGTTCATAAACTTAACAGACACAACATTTTCCAAAAATGAAGTTGAATTTCTGGAAAAATGTTTCAACTTTAACTTACAACACTCGTACATTAATAGAGAATTAGACTGTTTAGGGATCGATTGTGAATTAGCAATTAAGGACATTAACGATTCTAATTTTAATAAACATGTATTAGCGAATATAATAAGCTCTCATTTAATAGATAACAACAAACACAAAGAAATTTCTCAAATGTCACTAGTTAAAACAATCAAAAACAAAGCTTCTGAAAATAACATAATATTTACACATGCAGATAAAGGGGATCTCCCAGAATATATTTCAAAAACCAACAATTTTCTTAAACCAGAACTTTTCTAATGTATCAAACACGATCCTACAGAGTTATATCAAAGACAAGTCAAGGATGTAATTGCTAGCTCTACACTATTTAGTGACAAAGACAAATATTTTTTAACAATTATGAATTACATAAACAAGATATGCCCATTAGACCAGTCGTGTCTTATGTATCAGCTCCGGCAGTTAAACTCTCTACAAAATTAGTAAATATTTTAAAGTTCCACACAGATTTTAAACCAAAATTTGCAATAAAAAATTCTTTTGAATTAATCAACAAAATTAAAGACATAAAAATCCCTTCTAACGCATTGGGGATAGATTTAGTAGATTTTACCCTAAGTTGGAAACAGGTTAACCCATTGGTGAAACCAGATTTATTAGATTGCTTAATAGTATCTTTAGACCAAAATTATTTTGAATTTAATGGACAGATTTACATCTCTAAAGAAGGTTTGATTGTGGGAAACCCACTTAGTCCTTTGTTAACCGAGATTTTTATGGATAATTTTGAAAATATCATACTAGAACATCCTTTAAGTAAAAGTTTTTTATGGTGGTATAGATATGTGGACGATGTCTTTGCTTGCTTTGTTGGAACGGACAGAGAATTGAATTCTTTTTTAAATTACATTAATTCATTACGTAATCGTATAAAATTCACTATCGAGTTTGAACAGGATAACTCTATTAATTTTTTAGACTTAACTGTTACAAAAGCGCAACAAACAAATTAGATTTTTCAATATATCATAAACCTTCACCCACGGACACAGTCATACACAACAGCTCAAATCACCCTTATACACATAAAATGACTGCATTTAACTCTTTTATACACGGACTTCTTAATACGCCACTTTTGACAGAAAATTACAACAAAGAACTTAATATCATTAAACAATTTGCACTGAACAACGGCTACAATCCGTCCATTATAGATAAAATTATAAATAAAAAACAAATACAGATAACAGTAAACTCTATTTATCCGAAACCTAATACAGAACACGATCAATTTAAAACAATTACATACATAGGAGAACCTAGTGAAAAAGTTTCAAAACATTTGTCAAAATGTGGTTTAAAAATAGCTTTCAGAACTAACTACACAATAGGAAAATATTTAAAAAACAATAAAACGAAATGTCCAAAATCCCAGAAATCAGGTGTCTACAGGTTGAAATGTGGATCTTGTCCTAAAATTTATATTGGACAAACAGGTAGATCCTTCAAGAAACGCATTAACGAACATATAAGAGCGTTTAAAAACAATAGTCTAGATTCCAATTATGCTACACACTTAAACACAGAAAAACACATTTTTGAAGACAATTTTGATATTTAACATACAGCCACAAAAAGTAGAAAATTAAATTTATTGGAAGCCATGGAGATTAACAAAATGAGACATTTAAATGTATTGCTTAACGATCAGTTAGATTTAAATACCTCTCCTTTATTGAACTTAAATTCTCGCAACAACTTTAATTAAGGTTTTATGGTCATTTTTCGGTATATATAGTAGCAGGTAGTTTGTAAATATTACATTTGATAAGGACACGGTGTTATTTATTTTGATTTTATCCGGCGTTATCCTTTTGCCTGTTTCTATCTCACTTGTACAAATTATACGTTAAAATTTAGTTAGAACCGGACGTTCACGTTCACGCCAAGTATCCCGGTACACTTTTCCAAATCCCCCTTGACGAACAAGTCGTTAGTTTCCGCAACTTTACGACCAATTATTTCCTCATTTCTCTCGGCATTTTAAACTAACGCTCCTCTCTATTTTTTCCAGTGCTGGGAAAACTGCGAGCTGCTCCAATCGAACTTTCAAGTGTGGGGCGCCATGTGTGAAGAGAAAGAGATCTGTGTAAGTATTTAACGCTTTACGCCGGCCTTTTTTCCGATAGAAAAACGATCATCAATCAATTGGCGATGCTTGCCTCGTTTAAGGGACGATTGGATTCATGTTTCGACGTTTCTTTTGGTTAGTTTTGGTGTTCGTAGAAGACGGGGTAGATTTAAGGCGAAAAAGCTCTGTCAGTTTTGGAGGGTAAAGTGTTACGAATAACGGTAATAACTGGTAAAACTGAGATACGATGAGATTTTGAATAAATCTAGTAATGGCACGATACTCCGAGTAGATTCGTGGAGTCATGTAAAGAGATCTGGGATTCACTTAAAAGCAATAAATTCTAGTTTTAATATATTTTACTCTAAACTGGTTAAGGAAAACAATTTTATTTACACAGAGTTTTCGCTTCTCAGACATTATATATTTAAAAAACGAAATGTGTACAAAGTTATTATATATCAATGAAATCAATAATACTAGCACTCGAAATTTTGCATATTTTCTCGTTTGCCATAAACTATACGTTCTATAAAATAATTATTCTTATAAATACATATTTGTTCGAAATTAAGTATGATATTTTTAGGACTAATTCTAACGACACTCGTCCACCCGGACTCGGTGCTTGCCGAATAGATAAATATCCATTGCGCTATCATTGGTATCGATGTTATTTGTAGCGAAACTAATTTACGTTCGTTAGAAGACCCGCCGATATAATCGTGTCGATAATGCAGAACGCTGCGCCGCAGTCTAATTGCTGGATTTGCAGCGGTCGGTGCGCCGGTATAGGCGAAACGGCGAATAATGCACCTGACCATTATTATGATTTATTAATCTGGCCGCCAACTGAAAAAATAAACATCTCGACCATTTCACGGTCTGGCCTAAACTCTCGGCTTGGAAAAACGAGTCAAACAAATTTGTTTGTTTTATTTATCGATAGTGACATACAAGTATTCATACAATTTTTCTGGGTCGTTTTCCCTTAAAATGCTCTCATCCCATCAAACCAAATTCATTAAGGTTTCAAGTTATTTTTGCTTACCTTGCATAACTAAACATATTTTCCCTCATATACAGTGGGTTGCATTTAAGCACTGTACGTCTTTGCGAATTTTTTTTTTTTTCAAATCTCTAATAGCCCTTTTTGATATGTCACATCAAAAATTAGTCCCCGTTAGCAATTACTTCAGGTATATGTGACACGAAATATAAAGTTTTGGTGCGGTTTTGAGAGATCTAACCAACAAAAAAATGTTATCAAAACCAAACCGCAATCAAAGCTTTTACAACGATGTAGTGGGCGCAAACAATATTTTAAATATCTTTTATTGAAACATTATAAAATCGATATACTTGGGTTCTAAGTCCTCCTGAATAAGAATTCTTCTCCAATTTATTTTTTAAAAATAAAGGTAACATTTTATTAGTTATTAGCATATTTGATGAAGTTTACAGACACTCTGTAAAAGGAACAACAAGAATTAAATGTGAACACACAAGCAAATATACACCTACCTAATTTAAAAACCAACTTTTAGTTGACTTAAAGTTGGACAGAAAATGTGTATATATAGATAGATAGGTAGATAGAAAGAAGTTCAACAATATAAAAATATTGCAAAATTTTTTTTTGCGCATTTTCGATATCGTCAATATCTGGTTTAATTTTAATTTAATATTAAAGTGATGACTAAAAAAAATCCTTCTGCTATGCAATGACTGAGATGATGGGAATGAAGAGTTGACTAATAAAAAATCGGATAAACTCTATGTAGAGGAAAAAATGCTATAATAAAAATTCGAAGCATCTACTCCATCAGCAACGTTGTCTCTGATCATTCATAAAACACAAAGTTATCAATAAACTCTACATGACTAACGTCTCGTAACATAATCCGGTTTCCTCTACAGCCTTTGGTCGGACCGGCGGGATTTAGCTACTAAAAATCCGGTCGTTTACAACAATGGGCGTCAGCAGACGCGCGAAAACTAGGAAATTCACTTTATTTGATTAAATGCGCTACTCGGAAGTGTATGGAAGAACGCATTAAGACCGCATAAGCGGTGGAAAGGACGACAAAGAAAAATTCGTTGGTCGTTGATGTACACGACAAACGTTTTAAATGGTGCATACTGGTAGGAATTTTATTCCGATGGGGGGTACGACGACGTCAACATTGCCGCCTTACAAATTGCCAACTAACTGGAAACGAGTCAAATTATTCCGGACGGTTCTCGCAAGAAGAGTTTCGAGTCTCGGAAATAAAAGCGTAATTTTATTTAGTTAATTTCATTGCGGTTAAGTTACTTATGTTTGAATATTAGGTAAACAGGTAGAGACTACGAAACATTCGTGCCCCCTTAGGAACAAAGCTAACGAAAATATAAGTTTTGCGAAACCGTTTTATTTTAGTTTAATATCGAAAGTTTTATTTCGCAATTGAAAATATTATAGCGTAGACTGTCCCTTTCAGTTACCAGAGCAGATGGCAAGATGGCTGCATTACTGCTTCCGGTTCATATTATTATTTATTGTTACTTATTTTGACAACATGAAAATTGGTGTCGCATCCAATCGTCCATGTTTACGTGATAGTATTGTGTAGTCCCTTCATCCAATAGCAAACATGCTGACCAGGATAATTTTTATTTTCTTTCTTTTTTCTTTATTGAAAGTTTCAATCTTGGCATTTGAAGCACAATTTCAGGTGGAATCCATAATCCAAAATTATACAAACACCATTTCCCCAGAATATTTCTGAAGACCTGACTACTGACTGTATTGATTCTTCCAATATCTTCGTCGAGAATCCGAGAAGAAGACTTTTTAATCACGGAAAGAAAAAGACTTCCAAATATTTGACGCCCTCGTGAACTACGATTTCCCCCTGCACAGTTCTGCCTTATTTGTGTAGAAAGATCATCAAAAATAATAATTCCAACTATAAGGTTGTTCGGAAAGTCATTTCGTTTTTTCCCGTCAGAGGACTTAATTACGTTTTTTCGAAACCAACTTCACACTTAAACCGCATAACCATTATATGTCTTGAGAGCTGATATTGCAAGGCTTGTGTGTGAAAAAGTTTTATTAATTCTGCACAGTAGTTTTTGGTTGGTGCCCTTTTAAATATGGAGAGCAATAAGCAGCATTTTCGTCATATTTTACTTTTTTACTTCAGAAAAGGTAAAAATGCTGTCCAAGCGAGAAAAAAATTGACGGATGTGTATGGAGAAGGCGTGTTAACAGTACGCCAGTGCCAGAACTGGTTTGCAAAATTTCGATCCGGCAACCACGGTCTGGAAGGCCGGTCGATGCTGACAAAGATGCGATAAAGGCATTAGTTGATGCAAATCGGCGAATAACCACACGAGAGATCGGTGAGAGATTAAATTTGTCGAATTCGACTGTTTATGGCCATTTGAAAGGCATGGGCTTAACCTCGAAGCTCGATGTGTGGGTGCCCCATGTCCTTACGGAGCGAAATTTGTGTCGTCGCGTTGACGTGTGCGATTCGCTCCTCAAACGTCAAGAAAATGATCCATTTTTGAAGCGGATTATTATTGGGGACGAAAAATGGGTTGTATACAACAATGTTAAACGCAAGAGGTGATGGAGCGGAAAAGATGAACCGGCTCAAAGCGTGTCAAAAGCCAACATTCACCAAAAAAAGGTGATGCTCTCTATTTGGTGGGATGTCAAAGGAATCGTTTTTTTGAGCTTTTGCCGGACTATACAACGATTAATTCAGAAGTCTATTGTCATCAACTGGACAAATTGAATGATTCACTTAAAGAGAAGAGGCCCGAATTAATCAACAGGAAGGGTGTAGTGTTCCACCAGGATAATGCGAGACCTCACACAAGTTTGGTCACTCGCCAAAAACTTTTACAGCTTGAATGGGACGTACTGCAACATCCACCGTATTCTCCAGATCTGGCGCCTTCCGACTACTATTTGTTCCGGTCCCTGCAAAATTTTTTGGATGGCAAAACCTTTACCTCAAATGAAGATGTCAAAAACCACCTGAACCAGTTTTTTGCCAGCAAGGACCAAAACTTTTATGAGAGGGGAATTATGTTACTGCCAGAAAGATGGCAAAAGGTGTTGGACCAGAACGGCCAATATATAATTTAATAAAATATTTATTCATTATACGAAAACTGTCTTTCATGTTCTCCAAAAAAAACGAAATGACTTTCCGAACAACCCAATAGGTTCCGACCTTTCCCCCGTAACTTCATAATCTAATTCGAGGAGGGGTGATCAAAATCTCCGTTAAAGCCCTAATTGAATTACCGTAACTCAAGCTCGCGAACAAATATCAAACGTACATTATAAGCAGATACTGATTTGATTGTAATTCATTGTTAATATTTTTTGAACGCCATTTCTTTCGTTAATATCCCCCACTATTGAAACACTTAATTGCGTGCGCGACTTTGACATGCGAATAATTCATTTACTTACCGCGGGGCACTTAAAGCAAATAGGTGAGTGGCGCAGGCAGGGGATAGAATTTTTTGTTTTAAGGCATAAACTCGTAGTCGAGGAGATGTTTGATTCGATAATCGGTGACAAAACGTGAGGGTACTTTGCATTTCGGCCCCCACCACGCGCGTTTTATTAGCCAGGGGGTTGAGTGATTAATTGCCTGCAGCGAGGTTTTGCAGCGGCTTTCGTGGAGTTTTTTCTTCCATTATCGTATTATTGTAACGTATGACTGGTTTAAACGCGCCACTTCTTTTATTGCAAACGCGTTTCGATCTACCCTTAGCAAAATTATACAGCGTGTTTGAAAAGAACATATTAGATTCGAAAGTAGATTTTTTTAGTATTTAGCGATGTTAAACTTTCGGATATATAAGGTTGAGTGCGTCAAGTTATATTTATGCAGATTGGATGTAGAAATATAACATGTTTATTTTGGGAAAGGTTGAGACTACCAATGTTCACGTTCTTTCGGTTTTAGTAATAGTTTGTTGGCAATACATCTAAGTAATAGAATTTACTCACCCCTAACACATAGATCTGACAAAGACCTACTAAAATAATTTTTCAAAGAAACTTCCACAGACTACTGTAATACTATTTTTCTACTCCCGTCTGTAGAATACCTAATTACCCACAGATCTAACGTGCGGGAAGCGTCACATTACCACGTCAGTTTCGTTTCCCACGAATCCGAGCCACTTCGGACATTTCTGGATTTTCATCGCACGGCAGTAATCGGATGTTTTCGGAAATATTTCGCACGCTCTGAATTTGTCAATTCTGACGGTCATGTCAGTGAATGTATTCGTGTTGTTTTGCGAAAATGTACCCAAAAACTAACGGTCGTAGAAAAAGTATAGTATACAATACGTGCGGTAAACTTTTTAAGTCACTCGTTTATTAGACGCTCGCTCCGCTCGTGTCAAATAAACTCGTGAGTCAAATGCTGTCTACCGCACTTGTTGCATAATATACTATTGCAAATCTGCGTCTGTTGTTTATAAACCAATCTCGTTGACATTTCGCCAATCATCTTGTTGGTTCTTCAGAGGTAAACTCAAACTGGCTCGCATTCTCCTCTGTACTGCTTATATAGTGTTTGAGGAGGACGGAGCTAAAGGAGCGACACGAAGATTATTGAAAGGTAAAGACCTGAGCGCTTAAGATTTTTTGGCTACTTATAGATTTCTATAGATTCTCGGATTTTTCTCTAGCAGAAGAATTGATTACATGCAAGAATTTTAGTTTTATCGCATAAGATTTGATTTGCGATTTTGTTTGACAACTGCTGGTGAGTTTATCATAGTCTTAAGGCTTTTTCATGTTCGTTGAGCCTATTTGATATTTTCGGCCGGTTTTTACAATGTATTGTTTGCCGCATATGCATCGAATGCTGTAAAACTTCTGGTATCTGTCGAGAGATTTTTGGACAAGTAGTAAATCTAGTTTTAACGTTATATTTCTTAAGAAATTTTTATATGTTTTCAGTGATATTTTGAATGTAAGGAAGGGCAGCAATGACAAGCGTGGGGTTGCTTACGGACTAAGGTTTGTGTTGAAGTTGTATTTTGTGATAGAATGCCTAATATCTCTAATGCGGAAATTATTAGACAGAAAATCAGATATAAGATATGATAATCTTAGGTTTTCTGTAAACAGAAAGACCCAATGTTTAGTTTTAGGATTAGTTTGTTATTCAATAGTAAAACGTAGGTTACGGTGTATAGAGTTTAAATGGGTAAGAAATTCTCGGAGGGATTCTTGACCATTAGGCCAAATAACAAAAGTATCATCAACGTAGCGTTTCTATAATTTAGGTTTTAGATGGTAGGTGTGGAGGGCCTTCTTCCCAAAGGCTTTCATAAATATGTTTGCGATGTTTGGTGATAATGGAGAACCCAGAATTGGCTAAAGTCAGCAAGTTTGGTTTATAAACAATATACCTATGATTGATAAAAACAATGAACAGTAACGAATCTAAGATAGATCCGTCATATACATACTATTGTCGATGATTTAACAAGCATCTCTCCGAGTGAACCCTCGCAGAGATCCTGGTCAAGTTCAATACACCGGGATCGATTGGCAAGATAATATTTCAAAAGTTTTAATAGTTATCCCCTACGGGACCAAACTCTCTGAGTATATGTATTAAGCTGTGAGTTTTCATTAATTCCATTAAGTTGAAATCTGTAGAACCTCAGATATGCGAGCATACACTAACACATCAGACACTAAGTGCCTTCGTAAACTTACACAAACATGAAATTTCTCTACAAATGGTTCTTTCCAAGCATATGAAATAAGCGCCATTTTATTTTGTTTCAGTTCCCCGGCTGTCAAGAAGCCTGCAAGTTTCACGCGGAAGCATCGACCAGCATTCAACAAACCCAGCCGGTAATCCATACCAAAGGCGAAGCTGTGATCAGGGTATCCGGCGCAAGAGCGCGCTGGCCCACCAGGCCGTTGTCTGTCGATCCCAAAATTCCCGTAGTGTACGTCGTAATGAGGAAAAGTCAAACTGGACCGTGGAGGCAAATAATCCAAACCCTAGATTCGAGCACCAGGGTACCCGTTGACCAAGGCAACGCCATGCTTCGAGTGCTGGTAGTAGACCCCCAAGGACTGATAACGATTTATAGCCCGGACGAGGAAAGTTTGAAAGGCATGAAAAAGAGAAAGAAAACGGTGAACACGGAAATTAAAGCCACGACGAGCAAAAGTATTATTCCAGAAGACACTCCTTGGGTATTGAAAGAAGTGTCTTTGATCCATCAAAAGGTGTTGGTGATAGGTGAGATAGCGTGGGAAGCCAAAGCCAATCGAGGAGTTTATTTAGTCACTTGGGAAGTAGACGGGGGCGGTCTCAAAGGTAACCTTTTCACAGACTCCACTTGCGTGACGTTGTCTCTGTGGCCCGACACTATTTATCACATTCAAGTAGAGCTAGTGTCGAGGATTCCGGGTGTGGAAAATTTAAAATCGGACATGATGGACTTGGACACTGGCAGGGCGCAGAAGGTATCCACCGAAACCGACGTCAATATCTTACCCGAAGATGTGCCAGAAGAAGTTGATTTTAATTCTCCTCTATTATCCGTCTTCTACAGCGCAGTTAAGGGTGAACACGTGCGTCAGAGCTATAGAAATTTCGAGCTCGTGATGGGAACGTGCGCGGCCATTTTACTGTTCGCGATTTTGTTTGCGATAATCTTGTGGAGGTGTAGAAATAGGGGGGGACTGGTGCAGAACATGATCACCGGAGTTTCGAATGTCAGGAGTCAGAAGCTCGTGGAAGATCTAAGTGACTACGCAGGTAACAAATTCAGTGCAAAACTTTGCCATATATTTAATTAATAGTAATAATAGGAAATTAAAGGAGTGACAAAACATTTACTTGTGTATTTTGTTGGCACACTTATTGACATCTCTATACACAGTATAGACACTAAAATGTTCAACTAAGTTAAGCTGTGTACAAATAACGATGTTACGCAATTATTACTTTTATTAGTTGTGTGAGAGCAAATAGTTATTTTATTATACAAGTATGACACGAATTTAAAAACTTTTTTCGTTCATTTTGGCTGCTGGTTTTATGAAATTGTTCTGGTGTTACTTGTATGTAACGTCATTAGCTAGTACACTGCTTTGTTTTTCTATGAAATACCCGAAAGGTCTGTTGACTTTCAGATCTAGCACAAAGCGATTCTACTTTTTAGATGTGTATGTGTGAGTGTGTCCATTCAGCTAGTGATTTCATTCATATTTATCGTTATCGATAGTTGGCACGTTATCAGTAGGAGACGCGGAAACTGAACCTCGATTTTGGTTGCAGGTTTCCAGCCGATAATTACTGTACTAGGTCCAACGGAAGTGCCAAGAGAAGTGTCGGAAGTGAGCTTTCAATATGCGACGGAGCACACGGCCTCAGTCGACAGCCAATCGAGAAAGACTGTTCAAGTGTGACGTCACAGCGGTGACGTGATCGCAAACGTGAGTTATTAAAGTGCGCCGACACGAACGCTTCGAAAGTTCCTAGGTTCGATTTTTTTTTTAAATTTCGCGCCGCGTTGCAGTGAAGTGGCAGCAGAGGAGCGGGAGGACTTACCGTGAAATTTCATTAAATATTTTATGTATGTATATGTGTGTACAAAAACTAGTCTAAATATTATGATCAAAACGTAAATTTTTGTTCAAAAGTTTCGCTCATCGCTATGGTCAGTTTCGTTGTTTTTTGGGGGGACGACAATCATCGATCGGTCAACCATTTTGTTTCTTTTTTCAAAAAATTAAAAAATGTATGAATCAAAAACGAATATAATCAAATGATCTGCCACAGGGTGTCGATAACTCTATTTTCTCGCTGGTGTATTAACATAATGTATATACTGAAATCAATTTTAGACGGTCTTAGCTATTTTAAATATGTAAATGTGATTAGATCAATTCGCGGGTTGTAAAGTATCTTCAATTTATCTTCCTTGTACACAATTAAATTTTATTGACGATTTTTTCCTTTGTCCTGAAACACTTATCGAGATTAAACTCGCTCGAGTTAGTCAAAAAGCTAATTAGTCAATCCGACACATCGTAATATTATTAATTTTGACTGTGTTATATTTTTATTTAGTTTTAGTTGGTAATGTAGTGTAATTTATTTCTATGCTGTGTCTTGAATTAGTTAATCCTAAGAAGCATTTGTAAATATACAGAAACTGAATGTATCTAATGAAATCTAGAACGTCCAAGTTCGCCTAGCAATCGGTCAATCTTGTCGTACAGTACCGTATCGAACCTTTTTCTCCATTTAAGAATGTCATTATGCTGGGAGTAAGATGTTTTTGATCCTTTACTGTTGCGTATATGTTTTTCCAGAATCTTTGTCGGCGAAAGAAGCATGGCCACGGGATGGAAGTGACAGTTAATTAAAAAAGCTTAAGGATATACAGGGTGTAGACACTTAGTGCTTGGATTTATCGTCGACTACTTCTTACATAAATTGTTTGGCTAGTGCTTTCAAAAGTATACGGAACATATATTATGATTAAAAGTTAGGTTTTTAATTGAATTGTAAATGTAAAATTTGGGAATCTAAGCTGCTGCGGGATAAAGAACAATAGTCGTTTTTTGCTCCATAGTTCCTATCAGAAAATAAATTAAGATAAGAAATAAGTTTTACATTAGTGCACCTATTTTCATTTGGCATTTCAGTGTTTTCTGCTTGACTACTTTTGCAGTGGGTAGGGGGGGTTGGGAATTGACAGGTCTAATTTATTTGTGTCAATTGACCAGTCAATTGGCCGGTCAATTGACTGAAATAAAATTTAAAATACCATGAAATTTATATTTATTTATATTGTGCGTTACTTCGCCGTCGCTTCCTTCTAGGAACCAAATGGAGTCGATTTTACTATGGGGATTCCCCGAATCGCTAAGTATCGTGTTTGGATACTCCTTTATATGTAAATTATGTAAAAAATTTTCTCGTTTTATTAACACGTAAAAATTTCCTAACCATAATTATCAACGTCAAACATGGAGCTCGATTTAAAATCAGTGTGTGACAAAAAATTAAATAGGAATTCTACATTACCTATTTAACATATGCATATGCGTAACAAAGATCGCTGTAGACATCCCACCTGTTGGTCGTTGGTTCATTATTTACGTTTAATATGCCCTCATCCATCTTTCAATACAAGCTAATTCCGCCGAGGTTTAAAGGTCACGAATATGTTCCATCCCGCGGCTACTCTCGGGCATCCATCAAAATATTCATTAAGTTAGTTTCGTTGTACATATTTTTATTGTATTATAATTACATTATATATCATATAAGTTATTTTTCTATTAAGCATGATGCTCTTTAGTCGAGTCTATGGCTGAATGTAAATATTATTTAATAAACAATACACGACTATCAATGTATGTAATCGTTTTTATTGTCGCTGCTAGACGACGGCAGATTCCCCAGACTGTCCCAAGGACTAGTACCTCCTTCCCGATGGAAGCAAATACAGCATTGGAGAAGCTCGCAGAAATGTCGCTGGCGACCACGCGTTATAGTTCATCAATCGCTTCCACCTTTTTCCTCAATTTGTCCCTTACGATGTTTTTCTCTCTCTTTTACCTTCCATGATCAGCCTGACGCATTGGTACTTGGATTTGGAACCAAGAGTTTATTTCTGCGTGATATATTGTCCTGGCAACTCATTATATAATTTTTTTTTTACATCAATTCGATTCCAGTTTATATTAGAACTTTTAAGAATGATTTTTTATCTATTCTGTCGTCGCTGTTCTATTGCGAGTCCTTTCATAATTATAGGACTGGGCTTGCCTACCTTGTGCAGCTTGCCACGTAGGGCTATACGACATACAAGTGAGTATACAGTCAGAATAAAAGTGAAAGGGGAATACCCAAATTTTTCAGTTCTTAGGAAATTAATATGATTTATTCTCGGGTATTAAATATTGACAATTTGGAGTACGTAATTTGCACGTAATCGCTCTCGAAAGTTTATTATACCTGTTTGTTCAAACTGATTACGGAAGCGCGGAAAATCCGACCATAAAACACTTATCCTTAATTCGCATCCGCATCTTATATAGTATGAAATCTAAAATCCTCGACGTAGCAAGATGAAATTCTCGTTTAATCTCTCGGTTAAAATTTAAATCTAACCAAGTTTAAGCGCGCGGCTTTCATAAGCACTTCAATTCGGCAGTGACGTTCGTGGTTTCCTCATTTTAACTTAGAGCGTTGCTTATAAATTACGAACCGCAACGTGTCGGTCGCAAATTGATTTCAAATTAAAAGCAAGCTTGGCTAATCAATGAGCGACGAAAATGTTTGGAAACTCCTCGAGACTCAAAAATACGAAAAAAAGCTTGAGGCAAAAGTTACGGACCACCAATTTTGCACTGTTTTAGAAATAGTGGGACGTTCCGCTTTAAAAATTCTACACTGAAACTAGGTTTGCTTTTGCTTGCCCCTTAGAAAGATTTGGCTTCGAAATGTAATAAAGTCTTTTGCTTAAAGTTTTGGTCGTATTTGTCTCTCACCCCTGTATACTGATAATTACGACCTATCTATCTATATAGGGCTTTACTTTAAAACATTAATATACGACACTCGATATTTGATTCACGATATAAGTTGTAAAAAGGGAAAAGAGTAAATTTCAAAGTTAGGGGGCTCTATATGAGACGAGATATTCTATATTGCTGATAGGAGCTTGAAAATATTAAGTGAACTGTTGCAGAGTTAATATTTCCCGCGTTGAGGTTTTGTTTGGTAGTTGTTTAAGGAATCGCATATTTTTAGTGGTCTGTGGTGTTGGGTCGAAATACTAATTGCCCGTAGTATGGTCTGAAGCAGAAGCAAGTGTCACTACTATTTGACCGATGTCAAGAAAGCTATAGTTAGCAACATTTTGTATTATTCCTAAGTGAAATTATACTTGCGACGGACACTTTATTGATTGAAGTAACTTATAAAATGCAGGCGATGTGAAGTCCTGAATTGTTCCTTCCTTATTTTAAATCCATGACCACGTAGGCGTTCATCATTGCTGAAGACCACAAGGGGCACGTCAGGTGGAAATTGGTCATGCGCAAACCTACACATTTGAATGAGATCCCCCCGCAGCCGACCCTGACTTAATGTCGGCAGACTAAGCATTTTTAGACGGTCGTCGTAAGGTGTATGTCTAAGCAGAAGTGGCCAGCGCGTAGCGGCTCGTTGCACTTTTTCCAGAACATCACAGTCACGCAATAGCCATGGGTTCCAGACTGGGGAAGCAAATTCCAGGATGGGGCGAATGTAAGTTGTGAAAAGCCTGCAAGCGATGCGAGGACTAGGATTTTTAAAAGTCTTTTTTAACAAAAATAAAGCGCAGTTTGCTTACTTTGCAATATCTGATACATGTGCAGACCACGCAAGATCGTTAGTTACTGTCACACCTAGGTCCATCCGAGAACGGACACTTGACACAAAGTTTCCATCGATACAATAATTCAAACCGGGATTGTTCTCGCCAACATGCATCACAGAGCACTATTGAGCATTCAGCGGCATTGTAACATTTTAAACAATTTAAAAAATGTGTTTTTTAAATTTATTTTGCAAAAATCAGTATTTTTACATAGCTGTGGAAAAACATAACCACCAGTTAATCAAAATACTCCGGAAAACACCGTATAAACGTACAATTCCAATGCCGACCAAAATGGCAGCTTCGAGTCACTTTACGTTTGAAATCACTAAAATATAAATATAAACCATACAACGCACACAACAAAAATACAAACAAAAAATGCTGTAGAGGACGTCTACCATTTTAGGTGGACGTTAACACTTAATTGGGAGACTTTGGAAGACCATTTAAAGCAACTATGCAACTAGTGAGAAAGGCCTTTTTTTACCCATCGTCTAAAAAAATAGAATCGGAAGTAGTCTAGAACGGAGCACAATTAGTAGGAATTACTAAAACGTTGATAATAAATGTGAAGATTGAATTTAGAAATAATAAAAAAAATGGCGTTCAAATCAATTTTGCATTCGAATTGAAGAAAGAGTAAATTAATAATAATAACAACTTTAATACCAATGGTTTTCGCGATATAGATAAGTTGAAAAATGATTTAGTGATTTTAGTCACTTAAACTTAAAAAATAGTCTCGTAGACGACAGTCCTTTATTAACTCTCCAACCTTGTGTAGGTATGACTAAGTGCTAAATTTCACATTTCACAGCCTCAAATTTTCTTTATTTCCCATTATGTATGAAACTAATACTGTTCAAATAGACGTGAATTTTTAGGAATTTTGCTTTCAATCGCTTTGTTTTGTTTTGTACTAATAAAATAGCACCCTAGTCGGAACAAAAACTTTTTAAAATCGGTACTTTTTTTGCAACATTTTGACTTCAACGTTTTCAAAATCCTTTAAAAGATAAACTCACAGGAACTAAATACATTTTTATAAAAACAAAATATTACTTTTTCTTCTGAGATTCAACGATTAAATTTTTTGTTCAAAGTGTTTTATTATGGTAAAAACTTGACATCCTTTTGGAATACGGGATACTGTCAAAAACTAACGTAAGTATTGTATGTATACGCACGTCATCAGCTACAAGCGCTTTTTACCGGAAACTCAGAAGAACAAGGGAATAGAATTTTTTTTTCGCATCTGTCTCTTTTTGGGATAATTCAATACAATATTTTGAAAATATATTAGAAAATAAAACCTCAACAATGTCGGCAGAATCGATTCGAAAGTGGTATACCAACGTATGTTACTGTAAGACAAGTTTTATATAATTTATTTTAAGAAGACATTTTCATAGAACGTTTTCAAAATGTCCCCCTTCTTATCCGTATGCCACAACATTGATTTCCATTTCTTTGCTTATAATAAAATTATCATTTCGATTATTTTGTGCATCTCTCATTTTCAATTCCAGCTTTCTAAAGAAAGAATGTACAGGAAAGCGACGTCCCGAATAGCGGACTGAGTTTTTTCTGCATTCCCCGTATATCAGAAACGTCAACTTTTTTTTCCATTTGTAAATAAATTATTGTTTTCCATGATAGTCCAAATCGATAAGACGCCAAAATCGATAATCGATAATTTTTTTCATTCCTGTGAGCTCATTTTTTAACGGATTTTCAAAATATTGGTGTCAAAATGTTGCAAAAAAAAGTACCGGTTTTATAAAGTTTTTGTTTTTGAAAAAACTAGTTTATCCCAAAAAAATTATAGT